TTTTCCAGGGTGAAAGACATCAGAGCCACACATCAGTAAGGGACAGAAGAGTTCACGAGACTTGTCTAGCAGGAGGGAGCCTAGCTTGGGTGACCCAAGGGCAAGGCGTATTGGAGAGGGAGGCAGGGAGGCAGCAGGGTGAGCAGGCACTGTAATAAATGCCTTCTTTGACTCCTTTCAAACCTTGGGTTAGCCTGGAGGAGCCATCCTATCAGAGCCATGGGTGTTTCCCCAAAGCAGTATGCATAACCTTCAGGGAAGAAATGGCTCCTCAGTTGGGAAACCCATGCTCAGGCTGCCAGCAGGCAAAGAACAGGCACCATTGCCTTCCAGATGTGATCTCTCATGTCTAGACCCTGGGCTAGATAATAGGTGTTTGGAGTGGAGATCTGGGGCTTAGATGTTGAGGCAGAAATCCCAAATGTGATGTGGAGCAGGAGGAAAAGATGGACCCAAAGCATGGATCTGGACTTAGTTCCAGACACCTGAGTCCTTCTGTCACATCTACTTCTGGATTAAAAGCTTAAGTGACTTATAACTACTCATTTAGTTCTTCACGATTCAGTGACAGGAGGTGCTGATTATTTGCTTGCAGTCAGGTTCTTCAAAATCTGAACAAACTGAATACATCTTTGAATTAATGATTATGACATCTGAGGCGGAAGATGGAGTCAGAGTCATCTGGACCAGTGGTTCTCAACTTGTGGGTCACAACCCCCCACTGAGGTCATCTATCCAATATTGTGCATATCAGATACTTACATTACAATTCATAACAGTAGCAAAATTACAGTTATAACGTAGCAACAAAATAATTCCATGGTGAGGTCACCACAACATGAGGAACTGTATTAAGGGGTTGCAGAATTAGGAAGGTTGAGAACCACAGCTCTAGATCTTTAAGTCTTTGAGTCAGGACAGAATGGTTCTGCATGGCAACCAACTCAAGGAAGAAAAATGGACATTAGGTTGGTAGAAAGCATAGCTGTCCATTACATGCTCCCACATGAAAGATTTTGTGGGAGCTGGGGAGAGAGCTCAGTTGGTAAAGTTCTCGCTTGTCCTGCAAGCACAAGGACCTGAATTTGATTTCCAGACCCACATTAAAGAAAATTTAAAAAGCCAGCAGTGGTAGCAAGCGCTAGTAACTCCAGTAGTGGGGAAGTGGATCCCTTGACCTCACTGGTCAGCCATCCTCGCCCAATCAGCAAGTTGCAGGACAGTGAGACAGTGTTTCAAGTGGACACTGTCTGAGGAATGGCGTGCAGTTGATCTCTGGCATAACCACCCCTCAAAGGCCCCGTCTTGTGAGTTTTAAAAGGACACAGGCATCGGGGTTCTGAAGACTAGTTTAAGGATGAAAACGTCATTCAAGAGTGATGCGTTGGGGAGCAGAAGAAGTGGCCACATAAGCATGAGGACCTGACTTTAATCCCTAGAGGCTGTACAGAAAAGCCACTCATGGCAGTACCCGCCTGTAACCTCGGTGCCGGGGACGTTGAGAAGACAGGATCCCTGGGACTTCCTGGCTACTCAGTCTATCTCAGTCAGTGAGCTTCAGGTCCGGTCAGACAGCATCTCAAATTAGGAAGAGAGTGACTTAGGAAAAACCGACATCAGCCTCTGGCTTCTGCATGCATACACATATGTACACACACAAATATGTCCACACAAATAGATTAAAAAAAAAAAAAAGAAGGTGCACTCATATGCAGGCAGCTCGGGCTGACTCATATTACTCATGGAGGGGGGAGGTCCAAGAAAAGACTATTAAAATCTTTGAGGGGCTGCTTACAGACTTTAGATAAAATAGTTAGGGACTTGAGGGTCTGAAGGCAAACCACCGAGAAAGGGCAGCTGTTAGAACACACAGTCCTGTAACTGAGAAATGCAAGTTTGCTCACTGAATGTTGAAACTCTGAGGTTGAAATGTCAGTGACAAGAACTGCTGTTAAAGTAATGCCTGGATATCTTATTTCTCCACCATGTAAGAGCTAAATGGAATGAGATCCATTAGAGGGGCAGGCCCTGATATATAGGAGTCCCCATGCAATTCAGGATGACACTGTCAGTAGCCATCAGATCTGAACGGAGTCACAAGTGTGGGAATCTAGGCTCTCCTCACCTTCATCTTCCACATCCCTAAGAGGAAATAACATAGTGTACCCTACAGAAGCACTAGGAAGAGGGAGTGGGATCCTGTGGCCATTCAACAAGCATTTGATGAGTGCTTACTACTTACCACCTGGGCTAGGTGCTGGGTGGGGATATACAGATAATAAGAAAAAGTTTTGCTTTAGTGGAGCCTGGAGTCCAACAGGAGAGAGGCTCTTAAAACCCACCCACCCACCCAGACGATGCTCATGAGATGGGTGGCTTTGGAAGTTGTGATGCCCCAAACTGACATCATGTAGTGCACCTGCTTCTGTTCCTACTTGGCTGACATCAAGATATGTACAGATAGAGTGGTTTAAGACAACATGAAAAATGTTATTTTACCATTCTGGAGCCTGAGATGGATCTTACAGGCTGAAACCAACATTACATTCCTTCTAGACTCTAGGGCGTAACTCATTCCCTTTTTAATCTTCTAGAGGAATGGTTCTCAACCTTCCTACTGCTGCGACCCTTTAATAGGTTGCTCACGTTGTGGTGACCCCCAACCATAAAATTATTTTCATTGCTATTTCATAACTGTAATTTTGCTACTGTTATGAATTGTTATGTAAACATCTAATATGTGACCCAAGGGGTCGTGACCCACAGGCTGAGAAACACTAGCCTAGATGGTGCCTGTATCCCTTAACGTCCGGACCCTTATTTGGACAATTGTTGCCTCTGTCACGGTCCTTCTCTCACTCTGACTTTCCTGTCTCCTGATAAAACCCCCTTTGATTGCACCGGTTATAATAGTGAGCTAATCCCCCCCCCCCACTTTTAGCCTTTTTAACTCAATCATAGACTAAAGGCCCCTCGTGCCACGTCTGGTGAAACCCAACAACGCAAATGTAAAATGCAAAGGTGGACATCTCTGCATGGCTATTATTCATTCTACGGCAGCATTCCTGGAGACGCCCTCAGAAACCAGTCAGCTGACCCAGGCTACCCCAGCTTGTGAATAACCTCTGTTAAATCTGTCATGGAGGGGGGAGCAGAGTGGATGTCTAATGGCTCAGTGTAGATGCCTCGCAGAGTAGACTGTCACATGGCTGGTCCCCATAATATCATAGAATGAATGCCAGGCAGCTCTCAGAGCCTGAGCAAGCATATTACATACCTAAAGCTCCAAAATCCATCTACGTAAATGGCGATAAATGGAACTGTCTGGGAGAGTTGGAATGAGGATTAATGAAGACGCGCATGATGAAGTCACCTAGACAATGCCTGGTTTTCAATAAATGTCTGTTCTGGAATGACTCCTACATTCGGCCCTTGTCTTCTCTGTTTTGCTGAGGCCACCGCTTCCCCAACAGTCTCTCCAAAACTGTCACTTGCTTGCCAGTCATGTTACATGTCGCACTGATAGCGCTAAAGCCCAGTCAATGAGTCTATATGCTCTTCAGCTCTCTAAACCTCAGTTTCCACCTTTGTACAACCGGGATTATAACCTGCATGCAAGCAGGCTAAATTAAGACGTATGGGAAGGGCTTAGTGTCGTGTCTGGCACAAAATTAGGGCCTGATAAACAGTAGCGTTATTCTCCCCAAAGGCCTGGCCTCCTTTCAGCCTCATTTCCCACATTCCTCATTCAGCAGCACGGGACAACCCACTTGTCTGCGGGCAAACGCTGAACCTGCGGGCATTGCTCCTTAGCAATTCGCCCTGTCTCCAGTTTCCTCCATGCGCCCTGTGCAATTCATTCTCATAGCCCCAGTTCTACCTCGCTTCCCAGAAGTCTATCCAACCTTGACCAACCTTCTCAGTAGCAATTGTTTATGCAGGCCCTTGCCTCAATTCTGGGCATGAGCGAGGTCCTTAAAGCAGGGTGTCTCCTAAGGAGTACGGAAAAGTACTTCCCTTCCTCGCAGGCCTCAGTTTTCTCTTTTGGAGCGAGTCCATTGGAGTGGAAGGTTAAAGCCGCAGCCATGGCTGAGATTTTTAAACTGATAAGAGCAGGGGACCTTCTAGGTCGCCTACTCCACATCTTCTGCAGAAGGGGAAACTGAGTGCTGTTGTGTTTTGATTTTTTCCTTTCACGAAGAGACGTGTTGTTCTCTGCCCCAGGAACAAGTTTTCCCAGGAAGGAGGCAGCCTTGTTTTCTTTATCCGATCAAGGAGGGGGAAACTCTGGGACTTCTCAGGGGGTCCTGTGCGCCCGGAAACACGTGTGGGCTCACCTACGTGTACACACGTGAGCGCACCTACAGCAGCAGGGGGCACTCGGGCCGGCAGGGGGCAGCACAGGCCCGCCCGGCGCAGCCCCGGGGGAGGAGGGCGTGCTGCAGTGCCGGCGGCGGCGGCGGCGGCGGCGGCGGCTGGAGGTGCAGCCCTCCCAGGTGGGAGGCGGGGGCTGCGGGCGCAGAAAAAGGCGCCCCGGGAGCGGGCGCTCGGCGGGGGCCTCCTCGGGCCGGGCGCGGCGCGAGTGGGAGCGAGCGCGCCGGGAGCACGCAGGCGCTCTGCTCCAGCTGGCCCTCGGCCGGCGCGCGGCGCGGGAGCAGTCCGCAGCCGGGTCCCCCTGCAGGGCTCTTCGGGGCGGGGGACAGCGGCTACGCAGTAGCCGGCCCCGACCGCCCGCCCCTTCAAGCGCGCCGCGGCGACAGCAGCGGGACGGTCCCCCGAGCCGCTCGCGCGCGCTCTCTCCCGCGCAGCTCCTCGCGGCGGGCGCTGGCTGGGCCGACGCGCCCCGCGGGCGGCCGGAGCGCGGCCTCGGCCTCGGCTGGGGCGGGAGCGAGCCCCGGGCCGCAGCCCGCGGGAGGCGGCGCAGCGCGGCGGGGACTGACGGCGGCGCCGGGCGCTCCCGGGCGGCGGCGCGGCGGCAGCGCAGGGGGCGGAGGCAGGGGGCGCCCCCGGCCAGGATGCTGCGGTTCCTGCGCCGGACCTTTGGCCGCCGCTCCATGCAGCGCTACGCGCGGGGCGCGGCGGGGCGCGGGGCCGCCGGGCTGGGGGACGAGCGCGACGGGGGGCCGCGAGGGGGCCCGGCCGCCGCCGTCAGCTCCTCGGGGCTGCCCGCCGCGCCCGGGGGCAGCGTGTTCCCGGCCGGCGGCGGGCCCCTGCTCACGGGCGGCGCGGCTGTGCACATCTCCGCCTCTGGAGCGGCCAAGGCCACCCTCTACTGCCGTGTCTTCCTGCTCGACGGAACCGAAGTGAGCGTGGACCTGCCGGTGAGTGACGCGGCGGGGCACTGGTCGCCTGCGCCCCTTGGGGCAGAGCCCCCTGTCCCAGTGTTTCCCTCTGGGAAGCTTCCCGGGCCTCTCTTGGGGGACCCCTCCCCCATCTTCTGTCAGTACTCCGGGTCTGAACCCTCCCGGACCGCCAAGTCCGCGTATGTTGTGGGGCCCAGTCTTTGGCACCTTGCACCGCAGGGTTGCGTCTTCTTTGGCGCCCACCTAGGTTTTTGGGCCTCACCCCTACCCCATTGCACACTGTCCCCACGTCCCGCGTCCCCTCCCCTTGGCGCAGGTGGCTGGCATTCCCTGCCAATGTTGGCCTTCCGATGCTGGCTGGGTTAAGTAGAATTTTTTAAGCGATGCAGGGCTGCTCGGGGTATCTCGCTTTTGGTGTCAGGCCAAGGCACTGGAGAAGAAATCTTTGCCTGCTGCCCAGCAAGTGCCCCAAGTTTGGAAAGAGGGTTAGGGAACAGTTTTGCCTCTCTGTCCTCTGCCGATCCCTTACGGATGGCCTCCACTCCTATCCCCAAAGAGCCCCCTGCCTCACAACCTCGCAGAGGGTGGAGCGACTTGGGAGACAACTCTCAGGCCAGGTCAACTTTGAATCGGCAGAGGCCTTGGCCCCAGCCCCCTCTGAATTGACCTCCCAACTCACTCCCACACCCGGCAATGTGCGTGGGACCCGCAGGACATCCCGGGGTGGCAGCGCCGGGGCCTGTGTCCGGGCCACACACCCACAGGTGGTTGCACCGGGGCCCAGTTCCAGTGGCAAGCTAGGCCAGCGCCAGTATCTCCGGCAGGGAGTCCAGCCACCAAAAGAGTCTTTCTGGCCAGAGGGGCCAGTCAGATCCAATCAAACCGATGCACTAACGGGGCGCCCACTGTGCACTCGGCGCTGCGGCAGACAGTGCCTTTGGGAATCTTTGGCATGACAGAAGACACCGCAGTAATTGAGCCTTAGATGGGTTACAGATTGTCCGGAGCGTTTAGGCCTTCCTGGGTGGCAGGAATTTTTTAGATTTAAAGAGAGAACTCTTTAACCTGTAAGGGTTTCGGATGGGAAAAAAATCAGCCTACCTGGCTTGGGCTCTAATGCTTCTTCGTGTGGGTTTAATTTGGAGACAGTTTCAATTTATGGTAGTTTAATTTTGTGGTTCTTGTGCTCCGTTGGAGAGCATTTTGTCATAAAAATATCCTTGCGGGGCCTTTTCATAGAAAAGGTGCCAACATTCCCCAGCCCAGAGCTGTTGTCTTTTCCAAAGCGTTCTTGTCACTGCTGCCCAAGAATGAGGCTCTCCAGCTCTGATGCAGCTGGGGAGAGGCAGCCTGAGATCGGGGAGCAGAGGCGAGGTGAGTGGGCAGCTTGGGTTGGGAGAGGATGTGGCGCAGTTTGCATCTGGCAAAGGAATGCTATCCTTGGGAACTTTGCCGGTGCTCCTTGCCGGGTGGCTTTCTTGTCTGGTCCCCAGGGATAATTGGCTTATAAAATGTATTGCTGCTGTCAGGTTTGTGCGACAGGCTTAAGTGGTGTTTCTGAGATGAAAAATTGCACATGGAGTAAAGTGCCTGTGTGCTAAATAGATCCAAACAGGTACACAAATGAACAGGTTGGGATGCTGGTTTACCGCAGCTGGTGGGGCCGTGGGGGATGGGAACACAGGCGTCCTAAAAGGTTCCTTCGCTTTTTATAAAAGGGCACAGAAGAATTCCTCCATCCCGGGTTTCCTTTTGATGGCAGATATTTTTGATGCGTTTTTAAAAGATGTGTGATTTAGTGAGCCCCGGGTTTTATTTATACATACAGACGTGAAAACCATGCACCGAGTCCATAGGCAGATAAAAAGCAAATGCTGGCTTTGTTGTGTGAGCTTTCAGGGAGGACAGATGAAGAAAAATTGCCAGTAAACATGGCTCATTGATTTAAAGATTTATTAGATATTAGAATTGCATCACTCAGTCTCCTCCACCAGTCTTCCCCGAGCTGAGTGTTCCTGTAATTAATTCTCCCAGTTCGGAGGTTTAGCACCAGGCAGCCGGCTCCCTTGTGGATTTGTAGTGTTTGTGCTGTTCCTTAGACCCACTTTCCCGGATTCCCTCTCTATACCTCCTTCTAGGCATCTGACCCCACTTGGGCTTGCTCTGCTGTTTCTGGATTTTTACTGCTTCCTGGGCTCTGGCCTTGCCTGGCTGCTTGTCCCACAGACAGGATTTACCTTTGACCTGATACCCCTAAGCTTCCTTCTGTATTGGATCACTTCCATAGAGACCCGGCTGGCGACCGGGCCAGTCTGACTACGACTCCTTTGTAATTAAAACCCTCGGGTGGCTTTAGCTTCAAGAATTCCTTTGCTCACCATGCAAAAGTGGTGATGTGCTGTCATAAACCTCTTTATTAGCCCCTCTCGGGACAGACGCGTGTGTTCTAAAACGGCCTCAAACACAGTAACACCCTCAGTATGACCAGGCTGTGGCACCTCAGTGCAGTTACTCATCATTTATGGGGTGTCTCGAATGGGCTAAACTACTTGTTGTGAACACAAAGGTCAGTGAAGTATGGCCTGGAGGCTCTTGGAAGACACATTTGGAAAGATAGTTTTGTGTTCTGAGTGATGCTAATAGGAGAGACACTCCCTCGTGGGATGTTCCAGAAGGTTGAAATGGGGTGTGTGGGGTGTGGGGTCAGAAGGACTTCCTCAAGTTTTTGACGCTTGGAATGATAGGATCTTAAATCCACTGTCACTTGGCAAAGCTGTGGTCCAGTTGTCTTAGTTAGTAAAGGAAGATGCCACGGTCATTTTCCTGGTGAGCCCCCTCCAGCAGACTTGGAGTTGGGTTGGTCTGGTTGGTTGAATCTGCTGGCATTTCTGGTTGTTCTGAACCCTTCATGTAGATAGTCAGTACTTTGTCAGTTGTGGATAAAACATTAACAAGAAGGTCTTTAAAAGCCCCACCTGTAACGTGCCGTCCACCGCGGGCTTGGGGTACAGGCCCAGCCTCCAGGTGACACTCAGAGGGCCGCCCTGAGCCATTTCTTTTCAGAAGCCTGGCTCTGTCATGGAGGGCACCTCCCTCCCGTTCGTCCAGCCATGCAGCAGCCGTCCGGTGTGGTCTGGTCTGAGGGAGCCAGGCACTTTCCTTCTATGAATGTGGCTGCAGATGCCACTGATGGGTGTGCTTGGCAGCGGCACCCCTTGTTGACTCGTATTAGCTCTCTGTTGACTAAAGCCCTGGCATCGCTTGTGCCCGGGCCGCTTGTGCTCAGCCCCGCCTCTGTTGCCTCGTGTGTGTGTGTGTGTGTGTGTGTGTGTGTGTGTGTGTGTGTGCGCGCGCGCGCACGCCTCCACCTCCGTTCGATCTTTCAGCAGCCCCGTGTGCAAAGCTGTTGGAACAGTGGCCTGCCAGCTCGCACTCCCGCCATGCCCTGCAGGGGAAGGCTGGTTGGCCAGTGTAGCGCTTGGCGCGGTGGTTGCTCTCACTGTATCTGGAACTTGGCATTGACTCGTTAGGGTCCTGTGTAAACGTGGAGAATTTCAGAGTTACCTTAGAGCGGCACCGTGCCACCTTGGGCAGCTTCAGCTCTTCAGTGTTGGTTTCCCTGTTTTTTTTTTTTTTTAAATGGGAAGGCGAAATGATTAAAAACAAATTACAGTGCCTCAGTAAGCTGCGAGACACTAGAGGATTGCTAGAAAGGGATAATTTTATAAACGTCTCATCTTTTTCTTTGGGACGTGGAGAAGTCTTTTTAAAAATTGTAGTATGGACTTTAGAAAAACACACGTGAGCTATACCAGGCAGGCTTCCCATTGTTTAGTGGAATTGGAAGCTGGATGATGCTGTATGAGGGATGCTTTTTAAAAAAAAACAAAAACCTTCACTCTGGAAGAGAAAAGAAGCCTCTGCATAGCCTCTTAGGGGCCCGGTGGAACAAATGTGGTGCAGCATAATGATCATATGCCTTATTTGGGAATTGAAAGTACATACCCATCCAATGCATGATGGGCGACTGAATTCAGAGGGCATAAAGTGACCTCCCTTCAGTCGCTCCCTGAAGAGCTGCAATGGGCTGCTCTGGGAAGGCACAGAGCAAGCTAGGTTGTAGGATACAGGCATTAGTGGTGCCTTCTCACCCATGCAGGAAGGGGTGAGATGTGTTTCTGACGGTTAGAAGTAAGGCATGTTTTCTCATTCTCTGTAAAATTCTAGCAAAATGACTCTCTAACTTCAACACATGTGAAGTTCATCAGGTCCCAGTGATTCTCCTGCCTCAGCCTTCCTTGGTGCTGGGACTGCAGCCATGTCTTAACTGTTCTCAGTTCCTCTGAAGGAAGTGGTGTGTGCGTGCGTGCGTGGGTGCCTGCCTGCCTGCCTGCCTGCCTCTGGTTCCAGGGGACCCACAGCACTCACTTGGGACACAAATGATGCAGAGACATACATGCAGGCAAAACACCTGTACTAATAAAATTAAAAATTAAATCCACAGAGTTCACTACTAGCATTTGTGGTTCAGTATTTCAGGGAACAGAGCTTCTGACTGTTCACAGTCCTCCACTGCAGGTGAGGCTGATAACTGCTGTCCTTCACACTTTCCAGTAGACTCTGACTCTGGTGACAGACAAAGGCAACCGCACTGTGCATTAAATCCCCTGTGGGCATTCATGCATGCATGCGTGCGTGCGTGCGTGCGTGCGTGCATGTGGTGGAGGTGGGGCAGTCTTTGACCTGGGTATTGGCCTGTGCTGCAGAGAGCCTGCTTTGGCTAGAGTGGAGTGGAGACTCGGCTGGAGGATGGGCTTGATACCAGCTATGCTGTGGCAGTACTGCAGGAGAAGGGTGAGGAGGGTGTGGCTGGGAGGAGGAGGGGTGCATGGCTGGGAGAGGGGCAGAGGGCCCCGGGGCAGGTCACAGGTGGAATAAGGTGAGTATATGGGGAAAGGGCCAGGTGCCAACGTGGAGCATATGTGGAGGACCGGTCTCCCCTCAGCACTAAGGAACCC